CTCTTCTTAAATCCAGCAATCGCACAACTGCTTACATTGAGCCTGTTGAATTCTGACAACTCTAAGAAATCCTGAGCTGGTGCCTGGAAAGGATCATTGTAGAAATAACTTTTTAAATATTCTTCTATTATTTTTCTAGATAAGAGTCAACAACAAGGCTTTTGTGAAACAGAAAAAAAGGAAAGCTTAACTAAACAACGAGGATTACCGCTTGGTGCTAAGCATTACGAATGAAGGGTTTTATCATTTTAGCTGTGTGGGCCATCTCTTCAACCTGACAGAAGCGGTAAACTTTATACAATTCTATCACTTTCGGCTTAAAAACAAAAGCCGTGAATATGCTTTTTGGTGAACGAATCCCGCCGCACCCCACTGACAGAATGTTCAGTGTTTACGTTTCGAATTCGTATCGTCGATAGAAGCTGGAGCTTCTCTTGCTCCCCTGCACTGGCACGTCGTGCATTCACGATTTTCATTGAGAAACGCCAGTTTTGAAACCAGCTCCAGGGAAACTGGCAGACGTTGTCGCTCACCCCCACCCCGTCCCGACCCTGAAATCGCTCCCAGTCTCGTCTCACTGACTCTCGGCGTGAGTAAATTCCTCCAGGGGCGTCCCCGCCTCCCAGCTTGGGTCCCGCCTGGCTCTCATTACAAGCGCGTAAGGAGCAGGTCGAGGGTAGTGCTCACACACTCGCACTCTCTCAATCACACACTCACACACTTGCTCTCACAAGTGTCGGCATCCTGTTGTTTACATGCAGTGCGCGTGTGTGCGTATATGTATGTGTTAGCGTATTTTTGGTACAACACGAAGTTGTTCTTCAGTACAGCTTTGAGTGGTATGCTTAGTGTTTCTAACGCTCAGAGTTGCAGACATCGCAGTCATGAAATTTCAAATAAACTTTTCTTTTCACCAGACGTATGCGTATAAACGATGAGAACGTGAAATATTTTACATGTGCTTACGTCCATAGTTCGTCGCCTAAGATTTGTCTGAAGTGAACAGCTATGACCATAACGTATCATTCTGAAACGATTGGTTATAGGTCTCAGAGTTATAATTAGTTTACGGCATTCTGATATGGTTCTATTGAAGATAGACTACGTCAGCACATAATTTTAAATTGTGCGTTCGTCTTTTTCCGTTGTGGATTTATTAATTGTCAAGTGATTGTTCCATGAGATAGCTGGAAACAAAGGCAGTTTGGACGGATTTTAGAACATCTCGCTACTACCAGGTACGTTAATATTCAATGCAGCATGGTTCTTTCTATCTTTCTAACGTTCACACTTTTCTGTATCACATCTTGCACAGATGTGCGCCCCCCCCCCTCCTCGTCCAGCCCAACATTTCCACCGAACTACATTCCCCTTCCCCGTTACTGTTTTGCCTCTCACTTTCTGTTTACTCTAGATGTTCGGATCTGGATGCTCACGCCCCCTCCCTCCCCCACCCCCGCTTCTTCTCCACGTAAACACAGATGCAGTCTCTCACTCGGCCAACACCAACACTACAACAATAACGAAATATAAGCCTCAGAGAAAAATAGTGCAAGAACTCTTATCTTCGGTCTTTTTTTAAATTTCAAATTTCTACCACATCAATGTTCCAGGGCATGGTAACATCGTGTACGGAGATCACTAATGAGTTGATTCTTTGGCAGAGAGAGGGCGTTTTTTCTGACTTCAGACCCTGTTGTCGGCTTACAAAATCGTACTGTCTGTTGCTTCATTTGTCCCAACTATCATGTCTTTGCTTATCGGCGTGGTTGTGGGGCCCCATGGTATAGGCACATTCCTGCGCCATTTTTCATGATAACTGTCAATGTTCTTCTTTTTATCGTTAGTTGATATGCTCTTCTTTGTCTTTTATGCCCCCCCCCCCCAAATTATGATGTCCAAAACGAGCTCTTCTGTTTGGTTGTTTTTGTGTAAAGAGTTGTGATAGTTCTTGGTGCGCCGCTCACACTGTTGGAATCATGCTGTTGGTATCATGCTATTGGCTAAAGTTGAATGACCCTGGTTCGAATTCCCAGCCGGATATTCCTGCACTTGTGTTGTTTATCGAAGTTTGTAGACTTATCGCCTGCTTGGTTCAGTCCTATTGTAGAAAGACAATAGGTTCGGGGATCCGGTCTCTTAAGTACACTGTAACGGGTAACCTTGAACATAGCGTTAAATCCGTACCGCAAGATACTTGTACAAGTAGTAATTGTTGTTTCCTGTTAGCGTCGTGTATGCAGGCTATACTATACTCTGATATTAACCATGACGATTCTTTTGAAGAAAAGAAGAAGGCTTCGTATTGTTATTATATGCCCTTTGTTGTAATGAATAGTGGACTCGCTTCCTTGTTGATCGCCTACTAAACTTTGTACGCTTAGAGCGAGATTACAAGGTTACACGGTTACACGTAGCGTTACAAAATCTGTTTCATGTTCAAAACTATTATAATTGCTCATCCCTCGGCTCCACCTCCCATTCACCCATGCCATTTTCTTTTTCCGTCCTCCCACCAAGCTTGTTTTCCTTTTTTTATTCTCCCACCAAGTTTGGTTTCTTTGTTAGCCCTCCAAGCTTGGTTTCCTTTTTTTTTATCCTCCTCCATGCTTGGTTTCCTTTTTGGCATCCCACCAATCTTGTTTTCTATTTTTTAAAATCCTCCCACTAAGCTTTCTTTCTTTTTTATACTCCCACCAAGCCGTATTTCACGTTTTTATCCTCCCACCAAGTTTTCTTTCACTTTTTTATCCTCACACCAAGTTTTCTTTCACTTTTTTATCCTCCCACCAAGTTTTCTTTCACTTTTTTATCCTCCCACCAAGCTGTCCTCTTTAGGTGTTGAGTCAATGACTCAATGTACGTATATATATATACAGCGTGACGTCTCAACAAAGTCTCGTGTTGTGCTCTCTCCCATCTCCGTTTGTGCAATAACGGCACCACAGTGACATTTTGGGGCGTTTCACGTTTCTCTGTTCCCGTTCCCATAGCCAGTACCTCCCTCTTTCTCACTTTCTCTGTTCGCTCACGCCCCTTCCTCTCCTAACTCACCGGAAATGCATTGCAAGCACACACACACACACACACACACACACACACACACACACACACACACACACACACACACACATACACACACAAACACAACTTGCGAAGCCTCTGTAGCTTGATCCTTTTAGTACTGCTTTCAAATTTCCCCCTCTTTGTCTTTCCGCTGCGGAGTTCTTTATATATCATATATGTAGGCTATAGTAGTGTATATTCAGGTGTCGGCTAACTTATAAGTTGTGAGTTGTGATTGCAAAAGAGAGAGAGAGAGAGGGGGGGGGAGTGTCGGTACTAGGTAGGTAGGGATCAGTTACATGCAGGTACGGGTGATGTAGAATCTATTTCCGGGGTGTTTTCCTTCTTTTGTGCTGTTCTTTATCCTCTCTTCTGTTACTGATGCTCACTTATGACCGCTTCAAACAAATTTTGTAATGAGTTTTGAGTTTTACGAGTTTTTTTTTTCTTTCTGCACATGTAGTAGTTACATGATGTAGATTTTGCGTCTGCGGGGGTGGGTGGGGGGTGGAGAATCGAGAGAGTAGGAGGAGGAGGAGGAGGAGGAGAGAGAGAGAGAGAGAGAGAGAGAGAGAGAGAGAGAGAGAGAGAGAGAGACTTGCTCACAGTGTTGTAAAATTGTAAGTACGTCTGGCCTGGTCACAACCCTCCCACACCGGCGAGACGCTGTGCTTCTTTATCTCTTGGCTTGTGCTAAGTAAAGCAAGTTGTATCTAATTGTGGCGCCATCAGATAAACGACTCTCATGAATCAAACAGAGCCGCCAGCAACTCAGAAAATGCAGTTTTAACGTTATTGCAATGCAAAACGATGTATACGTTTATAGAAGAGTTTAGCCTATCCCCTTCGCGATCACTTTTGCTCCGATGGTTGCTATGAAAGATTACACATGAGATCTCTACCGCGTAGAATACTTCACTCATTAACCCCCTAGACCTTGAAGTTGATTACGTTGCTAAAGAAATAGGGAAATTTGAAATGGTAATGAATAGACTTCCTTCTTGTTTTTAGGAAGGTTTATCGTTAGTCTATTTCTAGAGAGCAAGTTCTCGTCTGACATAAAACACTGAGTTATGATGCATCTAGGCTAACTTTACTCCTTGACTTATTTTTACTCCTAGACAGATGTCATCTTCATCTAATGTGCAAAATATGGCAAATGGCGGTCCCTTGGGGTTAATTTAAATCTGTACTAGGAGTCTACTTTTAGACTACAAGCTGGGTATCGATTTTTAATTTTTTTTTTTTTTTTTTTTTTTGGGGGGGGTGTTCTTATGCCAGTCTGTTGACTTTCTCGAGGG